AAAAATTCGGCGACATTATGGCATAAGCGCTTGGGTCATATCTCAAAAGGTAGAGTTGAACGTCTTGTGTCTAATGGCATTTTGGATTCCCTCGACTTTTCAAATTTCAACGTATGTGTTGAATGTATCAAGGGAAAACAGACCAAAGTTAAGAGATTAGGTGCCAAAAGATCTTCAGACGTCTTAGAATTGATACATACAGAAATTTGTGGATCATTCCCTACGGCATCTTAGAATGGTCAATAATATTTTATATCATTTATAGACGATTACTCACGTTATGGGTACCTATATCTCATTCATGAGAAATCTGAGTCTCTGGACATGTTCAAAGCCTATAAAGCTGAAGTTGAGAATCAACTCAATAAAAGAATTAAAACCGTTAGATCTGATCGTGGTAGTGAGTACTACGGTAGATATGATGGTTCAGGTGAACAATGTCCAGGATCATTTGCTAGATACCTAGAGGAATACGGTATCATCCTACAGTACACAACGTCAGGTTCACCTAGCATGAATGGTGTAGCTGAAAGACAAAACAGGACTCTTAAGGATATGGTAAGAAGTATGATTGCTCATTCTTCTTCACCAGAGTCACTCTGGGGAGAAGCACTAAAGACAGCAGCTTACATTCTGAATAGAGTACCAAGTAAAGCAGTTGCTAAAATACCTTATGAGCTTTGGACTGGTCGAAAGCCCAGTTTAAAACACTTACATATTTGGGGATGTCCAGCTGAGGCAAGGCCTTATAGGCCAAATGAAAAGAAATTAGACTCCAAAATAGTTAACAGCTACTTTATTGGGTACTCTGAACGCTCTAGGGGCTATAAGTTTTACGATCTCACACTCAGGAATATTTTTGAGACGAGAACAACAACATTCTTTGAGGATGTTGAGTTTGGGGGGGAGAAATAAGGTTAGAGACATTAGTTTTGAGGAGGAATTAGCTTCAGATCCAATCCATATAGTTACTTTTGAATAATATTCAGGTTATTATACATATTGTTGCTCAATAAGTAAATCTGGAACCTCAAGATGACAATGTTGAACAACTCCATGTTCCATAAGAACAAACTCAACAACCTCAAGAACCAGTACTATTAAGGAGATCCACGAGAGAAAGGAGAAATGCTATTTCGAATGATTATATTGTATTTCTCCAAGAACATGAGGAAAGTAATGGAATATTAGAAGATGATCCAATCAACTTCTCTTAGGCCATAAAAAGTTCTAACTCTTAACAGTGGATTGATGTCATGAATGAAGAGTACAAGTCTATGCAAGACAATAAGGTTTGGGAACTTGTCTCATTGCCAGAAGGTGCAAAACCAATTGGTTATAAATGGATTTTTAAAACCAAGCGGGATACAAACGGTAATGTGGAGAGGTATAAGGCACGTCTTGTAGCTAAAGGCTTTACTCAAAAGGAAGGCATTAATTATACAGGGATTTTCTCTTCGGTTTCATTGAAAGACTCTTTCAGAATAATCATGACACTTGTTACTCATTATGATCTTGAGTTACATCAGAAGGATGTTAAGACTGTATTTCTCAATGGCGACATTGATGAGATGATTTATATGGTGCAACCAGAAAACTTTGTGTCAGGAGACCCAAAGAATATAGTTTGCAAATTAAGAAAATTCATCTATGTACTCAAGCAAGCTCTTCGTCAATGGTATTACAAGTTTCAACAAATAATTATCTCGTTCGGTTTTGAGATGAACATTGTTGATGACTGTGTATATCACAAGTTCAGTGGGAGTAAGTATATTTTTCTGGTTCTATATGTCGATGACATATTACTTGCCACTAATGATATAGGCATGTTGCACAAAACTAAGAGATTTCTATCAAAGAATTTTAAGATGAAAGATCTTGGGGACGCCTCTTTTATATTAGGAATCCAGATACATCGAGATCGCGATATTCTTGGATTATCACAAAAGAACTATATCGATAAAGTACTTAAAAGGTTTGGCATGCAAGATTGCAGACCATGAGACACCCTGTTGCTAAAGGAGACAAGTTCGATCTCAATCAGTGTCCTAAAGACAACCTTGAAATTAAGAAAATACAGAAGATTCCTTATGCTTCAGCTGTAGGAAGTCTAATGTATGCTCAGGTATGTACGCGTCCAGATATTACGTACATTGTTGGGATGTTAGTACGCGTCCAGATATTACGTACATTGTTGGGATGTTAGGCAGATACTTAAGCAACCCTGGTATGGATCACTGGATAGCAGTCAAAATTAAGCAACCCTGGTATGGATCACTGGATAGCAGTCAAAAGGGTTATGAGGTATCTTCAGAAAACAAAAAATTATATGCTCACATACAGAAAATCAGAATAGCTGGAGGTCATTGGGTACTCTTATTATGATTTTGCTGGATGCCAAGATAGCAGGAAGTCTACATCATGCTACATTTATATGTTAGCAGGAGGAGCTATATCTCTACTATGGCAGCAGAGTTTGTAGCTTGCTATGAGATATCAAATCATGGAATATGATTGCGAAATTTTGTCACTGGACTGCGCATTTTAAAAAATGTGGAAAGACCATTAAGGTTATATTGTGATAATAAATCTGCAGTGATGTATTCCAATAACAACATGAGCTCAATTAAGTCAAAACATATTGACATTAAGTTCCTGGTTGTGAAAGAAAGGGTATAGAGTGGACAGATAACCATAGAGCACATTGGGACAAACTCTATGATAGCTGATCCTCTTACTAAGGGATTGACACCCAAGGTCTTTCATGAGCACATTGCTCATATGGGTGTGGTGTTATTCGAGGATATCATGATTTAGTGGGAGTTTGTAATTTTTGGTGCTTTGTGTTTAGTTGTATTGTCTGATCAGAATAAAATATTCGGTTAAGACACTCTGTTACATTATGTTTGGTTTTGACCTCACTAAAGTAGGACCAGTTAAAAATAGACATGTCCTGATCGCATTGCATGTAATTTTCATGCTGCACATCCATGATTGATCTATGTCGTTTGATTGTATTGGTATATGTGACCATTGATGAGTCGAGTCACGATAAATGTGACGAATGCCGCTTTGATCCTTTATTGATATAGTCAATGGGTAAGATTGTTCGAAAATACCTTTTCAGTGATAGCAATTATGAGCTCATAAGGTTATACACAATTTAAGGAATCATATGGTGCCCAAGTGGGAGATTGTTGGATTTAAATCTAATTAAATCTAATTGTGGGCACATATGATTAATCAATGTGTATTGCTATCTTTAAGGATAACCCACCTAAAGTGATCAATCAATTTGGGTTAATGGGTATTTAAATAAATTATGGGGTTATATGTGCAGATACCAGGTTGTAATTATAATTTGATGAGGGGCCAAATTACAAATGTACAACACCTATATATATGGGGTTATGGTCCCTAATCTAGGGTTAGCCACTCTCATTCTCTTATCCCCATCTAAAGAGACCCATAAGGGAGAAACCCTAAGGTTAGAAGATCATCAAAACCCTAATCAGGTTTTCCTCAATGGATTCTGGTATATGCTTCCGCACCTTTTGATTCTTGTTAATCTCTTTGAATTAATCATGGTTTTAAGGTTTAGATCTTAAATTTTAGATCTAACAGTTTTATCCCTGAAAGAGAAGATTGGAAAAATGGCAATGACAAAAAATGCGCTTAATCCTTATTAAGTTAACATTAGTGATATTAACTGAAATAGCCATATAAATGTACCATCTCACTTGTCTCCTAAAATTGTTCCAGTTTTAGGACCTCTTAGCACTACTCTTTCGAATTATAGGTACACTCGAAAAAGATAGTGTTCAAAACCAAAGCACTATCCAACGTACAAATCCAGGAAGTTTAGTCTGTTTAGATAATTATATTATGTTTTTTGCAATTTTTTATGTATATTAATTAAATTTAAATGAGCTTAATTAGCTGGAGTAGCATAATCCTTCCTTGCCTTTGGAGAGGTTGAAACCTTGCATCTTCTTAGTTTTCACTAATAAAACGATCTCAAAGTACACAAAATTATGGGCTGTGACTCGGATGGAAGATACTCGACACTTGTTGTAATTGATGTGCACGTAATCGATTAAAAATATTTCTGGGTTTTTTTTTTATTTTCATTAATGAAAAGCGAGTTGACGCTCGAACAAAATCATGATCTTAAACAAATATGTGCGGACAAAAACATCTCTATATATTAGCCTTTACAAATTTAATCATATGCAATAAATTATAATTATACGCTAATCTCAATGTGACAATGTCAATTGATGTTGCGCTTGCTCGTCATGGCTCCACCAAACATTTGATATCCACAGGAGACAACCATAATAGCTTTATAAAGATCCTTGGCGGCTTTTTTATTGAAGCGCACCAACATAAAATAAAAGTTAAAAGTTAAAATAAACAGTAATCAAAAGATTAGCCACCAACTTGTCTGAAGTAAGCTGCGAGGGGCGACCAAACGCGGGATAAAGTGGGCCCCAAGAAATCCTCATTTCAACACGTCATGGCTAATTGCCGTTTGCTGTCTTACTCAAGCTGCTGATTTGGGAACTGAACAGCTTGGCTTTCCGCTGGAGTCCAACTCCCGAGGGTGATCGGCCCAATCAACGCGGTCCTCAAATGCCCACGTGCTCGAACCTGTGGTCCGAGTGCGTTCCCCTCTGAAGCGAGGCCTTTTCGTGATCTCCTGTGCTATCAGACAGCAAACAGTCAAGACATCAAATAGAGTAGCGTCACATGTACGAAGTGGCATTTTCGTTATTTTTTTCAAGTTCCTGAGCAACTAGTGGTTTTTCAGTGGAGAGTAACTCTCCATTAAATCTAGCCACTAAAATGACGACAAGTGTGTGAAAAAAGGAGGTTACGATGGCATAATCGTGATTATCAGTACAATATATGGGTAGTTTGAGATCCGTGAGAGTGCTGACCCACCGCGGTCGGTGGTTCTGTCCCCTTTCCTCCCTTTCTATTTATCTCAGGCTTTTATCACTCATCTCCTTCTTCCCCCATTTTCCCAATAAATTATTTCTAAAAAAACTGTAATTTTTCTAGTAATATATAATTAGGGTTTGACCTTCGATTTGTTCGATCTCGGAAGCGATTCAATCGATGGAACCCGATTCTTGGACTCGATTGTCTGCTGCGTCGAAGCGTCATCAATCTGCTCTTCAATCGCGATACGGTGAGTCCTCGATGAAACCCTAGTTCGTGAGGTTGATTGGGCCATCAATCTGCTCTTCAATCGCGATACGGTGAGTCCTCGATGAAACCCTAGTTCGTGAGGTTGATTGGGGATTTGAGTGGTTGTTTGATGGGGCTTTTGGTGTTCAGATCTGTACCTAGGGTTTGAAGAAGTCGATGGAGGCGATGAGGAGCCTCGAGCGGAGTTCTTCGCTTGCCCGTTTTGTTCCGAGGATTTCGATATCATTGGGCTTTGTTGTCATATTGATGATGAACATCCAGTTGAGGCGAAGAATGGGGTAAAAATTTGTTATTTGTGTTGGAAGTCCTTGAAAAAATTTCGGCTTTCGGTTAATGATCTATTAGATTGAACACTAGAAGGCTGATTCTTTAGGTCTCTTTTACTGAACTGGTAAAGTTTTTCAAAGGCAATTGTAGTATATAATCGAGGATGACCTGTAATTTAGTCTGGTTTCTCGTTAATCTGGAATTGTTAGTAAGCTTTCTTTTACCCGGCAGTTCTCATATTTTGTTTACTTCTGTATATATGAAGCGGTTTGGAGTTGAAAGTATTTTCCTTTTGGAATCTTCAAATAAGCATGATGATGCTGTGTTTTGGATATGGTGTTCGACTGTTCTGCATCCTCGAGAATGAATTAAATGTTTCCTTTTGGACTATTGCACCCACAGTTTTGAATAGTCCATCCCACTGTGTTATGTCGATGTTCGCTCAGAATAAACAGTGCAATTATTGTTATCATCATCATCATCAAGTAATAAGAAAACAAAATGGCTATTTTGTATTTCATCTTTTAGTGTATATATGTGTTGAATGCTAAGTTAGCTGTTGATGCTTAATTAAGATCAGTTACATTTTGAAGGTATGTCCCATCTGTGCGGCAAGAGTTGGCATGGACTTGGTTGCGCACATGACGATGCAGCATGGAAACTTCTTCAAGATATCCTTTCTTTCTTATTGTTGTTAACTTTGAGCTTTCCACATATATCAGGTGTTATTATCACTCAGTAATGAGTAATGGTTATTTCTTAAGTAGGTGAGCATTTAGGACTTAGGAGGTCAAAGTTTTTTTTTTTCCTGTCTTGCACATTATACTATTGTAGAGGCTAGGGTTGGAAATCCTTAACTTACACTTACATGCAACGAAGGAGGAGATTCCGTAGAGGTTCAGCTGGATCCCATTCTACACTTTCTTTATTGAGAAAGGAACTTAGAGAAGGAAATCTACAAGCTCTTCTCAGTGGGTCTACCTATTCTGTTCCTCCTCCTAATGCAGCACCTGATCCTTTTCTGTCATCATTGATCTACACTTCGCCGGTGGCTGACTCTTCAAGAGATATACAACCTGAGTCTCTGGAGGGGGAATGCCTTGTTAGCAAGTGTTCAGATGTGAAAGCGGTAGAAAGGTATGTAAAGCTGCCTGCTAACTACTTCTATCACTTAATTTTGTTAGAGTGTGATAGCTTGAGTGTATCTTTGAGTTTTAATGCTCTAGCCTTTTAATTAACTACATCTATCACTTAATGTTGTTAAGAGTGTGATAGCCTGAGTGTGTCTTTGAGTTTTAATGCTTTAACCTTTTAATTAACTTATGCACTGGAAAAAGTTGCTTTCCAATGGGAAACAACCCGGAGTCTCGCGTATTCGCGTATTCGTTGATCTCGTGATATTTTTTTCGTGTTAAGAGAAAGGTTTTCAATTTGGGGATTGGAGATGTGCAGAAAGTGCAAATATAGGTGAACCTCCTCAAGTTGTGCCTTTTCTGTATATAGAATTTGCATGGAGACCCTTTTGAATACCCTGCCTGAAACTGTCTGCTTCTTTAACTATTCTCTTTTACTAGATCGGATATTGTACATGTTCACCTATGCTAACTGAAAAACGTATACGTGCAAGTGTCTCAGTGGATAATAAGTACATCAATATCTCACTGCTTAACTGGTTATGCACACTTTGTCATTTAAGGGAAATCCAATGTGCTTGCTCTGATGAAAGGTGCTAGCATTATGCTAAGTTATCAAATTGTTCAGATATTAATTTGAAAAGGAAAATGTATGTTGCGATAATTGCCTTGTGTTTTTCCAAGGCAAACAATAGTCAGTACAAGTTAAATAACAAATGGTTCAGTTGTTAATTTACACAAATAATTTGACTAATTATAATTAGATCCAGGGGATTTCACTTATATTGACAGCAATACAGCCCCAGTATTACGTAGCTCACTGCTGCAACGAAATAAGAAGTTTTATGATGATTGATCACTATAAAGAGAATGTGCAGAATGAGTTAGCAAGATCAGGAGAGTTTGTTGCAGCACTGAGCTACTTAATACAATGTAGAGCAATAACAAAACTGAATATAGATAATAGATACAATAAAACAACGCGCAAGGATTTAACGTTCAGTCAATATCTCGACTTACATGAATGGGCGAGAGTAACAAGAGGAATATACTTATCAAAGAGGAGATTACTACAGGAAATATCACTCTCTAAGTTCACTCACCAAACTCCCTACTTTATTTTTCCCATTCGTAGCAAAGAGGTTCGATCTCGGGTTCTTTCCTTGTGAAGTCCTTTAAGAAACAATCATTTCCATAATGATTTCTGGTAATTTCCCATAGTTCTTAACCTTTTATCTAGATTACATGCATTTTCAGTATCATTGCTAGCATAATCTATTTAACTCATGGATCCACCCTATGTTTACTATCCATTTTTTTCCCATCACAATTTTCACTATGTTTGAACCTTTCGTATTCCTCATATATATTTCTTAGTACCTAGATGTGCTTATGATATTCATCTATTGACCACCCAGAGCCTTGATATGTACTTCAAATGATAAATTTTTTTGACAACTGAAAAATCCGGGAGAGAACCCATTCAAGTGAGTGATGAGCAATGCTGATGAGTGAGAAAGAAGTGTTGCAAGAGTAATAGCAACACTAGAACCCTCATTCGTCTTACCACGGAGTAGACATGTATCTCTGTTTAAGCCATTGTTTAAGCATTTTGTGCCCTTCGCCGCTTTCCACTCTAAAATGCTGCCCAAAAGCGGCATGATACAAGATATGAACCCACAACGATCATTAAACCCACAAAGTGGCCCATCCATTAAAAGCTTTCCCTCTGGTAATTTACACGTTGAGTCATTAACTCGTTGTTGTTTGATTTTACATAGGACACTACATGTTAATTTATCACATTACAATGTATATAATATTTTGTTAATATTGCGTGATTAAATCTAAGTACCGTTAACACATTTATTTCATGCTTAGGAACTCTAAACACTGTTTGATGTATATATATAGGCCACTAATTTTTACTTTTTTAATAATTTCCCAGATTTTTTTCTTTTTTCCCCTTATTCAAAATAATAATAATAATAATAATAATAACTTTGTGCTTTTGCCTGAGTCTCAAATAGTCTAAGCAACACCTTATCTCTTTGCTTTGCTCTGCTTTTCACAACCCAATAACAATAGGAGTACAAGTCTCTGCTCCTTCCTGCCAATTGAGTTATACTCGTAATAGAGTAGATGTTTTGAAGTTAATTCTCGGATGCAGGGCCATAGCCCATGTTGGGCTATAAGATTATTTTCCTGAATAGTTTTATAATACTTTTTGACAAAGTGGGAGGACATTTTCTTTGTTGTTTAACCCTTTTGTCTTCTAAGAGCAATATATCGGGCTCGACAACTGCAAATTCTCAGTAGTTGATTTTTTCGCACATTGATGCACATGATACGGAAACACAACATCTATAGGAAAAATGGATTTTTGTACTTTTGTATAACATTTAGGTTGTAGGGATTGTCAACTGTCAGGTTGAACCAGAAGCTTGCCTGGACCAACGTAAGAAATTGTAGGAACTGGGAAGTCTTTGGGCCCGCCTAGCCGATGGATGTCTTTTTTTTTTAGATTCTATACGTTCTAAACCCGATAAGCCGAAACCATACATGTCTCTGAACTCGCCCAAAACACATCCAAAAATTTTCCATTCATGGAGTAATTAGTTTATCATCAATTAATAATGATGCTTGTTAGTCTTTTTGTCTTCATTCTACTACTCCACTCCAAAGAAAAACTATTCAGAATTAAGTTATTTCTACATTGATTGCACATGACTAATAGATTATGCCTTATGGAAGGCTTTGGAAATGATTGTTCATTTTACATGAGTACTGTAGCCGGTGCAAGACACAACAAATTGTAAAAGCAAGGGTAGGAAGATGTAACTATATAGATGTAGTGAAATTAATAATCTACATGAGATCAATATTATTTGTTCATTGCATGTTATGAGAATTAAAATTTCTATAATACTTTTATGTTCCTTTTATTATGTAGAAATTGGAAATCATTTATTTTGGAAAAAGAAGTCAATGACCCTTTAAAGTCATTGTTCTACTAGGTATGACTGAAATGAACTTGATTCATGTCCAATGAGTTTCAGAAAGTAGACGCGGAAGTGTAGATGTAGGATAAATCTTCAAGAAGCGTATGCTGAGTGTTCTAAACTAAAACATGTATTACATAATTGAGTACACATTATGTGTATATTTGATAGGTGTTGGTGTCCAATATGGATATGATGCGTGTTTTAATAATCTACACAAATATCAAGTATGGATGCAACTTTATCACGGGAGTAGCCATGCAGCATAGGAGTCCACTAAATTTACATATTCTAGTATTTAAAATTGGGGATAATCTACTTGAAAATTACCTCATCTAACCTTCCCAACCTTGTAGGAACTAAAAAATTGACTCAAAGTCTTATTCGGCCTAAAAGCTAATTGGTGGGATTTCCTGCTTTCAAAAACCAATATAAATTTAGGTTTCGGCTCTAAATGTGCTAAAATCCTGGTCTGACCTGTTAATGCCCTATCTTAATTTCATTCGGAGATATTTGTTTTTGCAATCTGGTGATATGCATCTGTAGGCCTTAAGGTCTTTGTGATATATTAATATTTTGTATGGATGGGAAAATTGTTTGAAAAAGTAGCCTAGGAGTGTGCTCAGGTTCTCTCATCGAGCCCAGGGCCGAGGCCCTACGCATGCCACCCAATTGCGCATTTACGGATCCTAAGAGGCAGAGGTCGCTTAAATGGGCCACACCGTTTTAAAAACAAGTATGTTAAGCATGGTAACATGCGAAGAAAGGGACACAAAATGATTTCCAAATCAAAATTAGATAAAACATGAAGGTTAAGGTTTTGAATGTTTGGAAAAAAAGAACCTTTTTCTCTCATGTTGTCTTCCCTCGTTTTTGTCTTTGCTTCTAGACCTAATGTCTCAGGTTCCAATAACTGGTTAAACTGCTCTGATCATTGTCCATAGTTGCAAAAGGTAATTTTCTTTAATTCAGTAGTTTTGTTTGCAATAATAATGATTACTATTAATGTTCTTTCTCTTTATCTCTGCTCTCTTTTCTTCTTCTCCCTTCTTATCCTTTGCCCACCCATTGTGCCAGAAGTAGCCGCCTTAATAATAAACTGAAAAGACGTCTACACCCTGCCTAGGCACCCACAATGCCTGTCATTATGGAGATTTAAATTCTGAAATGTGGACCCGCTTGAGGGTTCACATTTTTTTTTACCTGCTTGATTTGTCTTATGTCCTTGATGGCATTATGTTTAGTTAATCAAATTTATATTTACTGTGATGTTATTGATACATCTTGGAATATGAATTTCTAATTTGGCTATCGCAGTGAACATAGAGGTGTGGGTTATGTTAAAAATGCTACATCCCATATGTGGCAGAAAATTTGACTGGAGTGTGTAATACGAGAACTCCTATACCGATGAAGTTCGTAAGTGGGAAGAGACTGGTCTTGTTTTATGGATAATAGCTTCTGGGCAATTGTTTTTGGCTAGCTCATCCTGTTTGCTCTGTTGATCTTCCTTTTTTTATTTTTTTTATTTAAGTTATCAAATTTATTAATATTCTTCTGACAATGAGCTAATGTACAAGTTATTGGTGTAGAACTTGCTCGGTTCCTTCAGTTTGCCAGATAGACGTTCACCAAGCTAACTAAGATTTATTATGTATGAACTAATTACATGTCTGCTGTTATTCAGCTTTGAAGATCACAGTGCTTGTATATTTCTTTTCCATTTCAAGTGCTCAATTTAAATATCTTAGTAAATGCAATATTATATTGCTTAGCTTATGTTTATTGAAAATATTTCACATGTTTTAAAACTTTTCCGCATTATTTCCGATATTCTAGATGCCATTTGACCTGTGTTTGGTCCTTCCCCATCTTATGATTCACTACCTTTACCTTGATAATTGAAAATGTTTAGCCTCGAAATGAAACATTGAACAAGATCAACGATATGCTAGTATCAGTATTGAACTCAAGCTCCAAACAAAATAAAAACACGCTCTTGTTTACTTCATTAATATCAAGCCATGCTCTTTGCCAAATACATGCTAATCCAGTATTTCCTGTTTGTTAGAATGTATGCTAATACAACATCTTTTGTATACGCCAGTGTGGAACCATCTCTGTCTGAGACGGAGCAGAAGGAGAGAGCTTGCAGGAGCGAGTTCGTGCAGGGTCTCTTACTCTCCACGATATTTGAAAGTGATAGCTCATAAGGAGTAAGGTTTTCAAAAATGCAGCGGTAGGGCAATGGGATCATGCAAGCGAGAGCCTGAAACAAGGCCAGAAGACAGTCCACGGGACCGTTGTGTTCTGAGCTGCACCGTGGAACCTCATCTTCTTACGAATTTGGGGTTTCATTTGGAAGTTGCATGTGCATATGTTTTATTTGATGGGAGATGAGAGAACATGTTGTATGTCTTTCTTATGTTATTTAAGGACGAAATACTGCAAGATAACTCTTCCTTTTTTTTAGTTTATAAGTTGCGCGCGTTAACTAGTGTATTTGGGACGCTCCTTGCCTTCCACCAGGGTTACCTGGTCCTGAAATAAACTTTCTTCTTGTGTCTTGTTGTTCCCATTTTTAGGGCTGTAGTTGTCCAACTTGCGATTATGAGGAAGACCCCTTCTGGGGTTAATAACTTATAAGCCCACTTTAAGATTTTATCTAGAAACCCCTTATCAGTGTTAATCACGTTTTTTTCACGAGGGTAAATAAAATCACAGCAGGTGGGGTATATTTTAGCCGCTGAAAATTGGTTTCTCGGTTTTAGGGGTTTTCTTGGGAGAGAACAATGTTAAAAGGGGGTTTTCTAATAAGCCTTATATTATTATTGTTGTTGTTGTTATTATTGTTATTATTTAAGGGGGTTTCTTTATACTCAGATTTTATTATTATTATTATTATTATTTATCATACTACTGTGAAAGTTGTGGGGTGTTGTCTGATGATCATCCAAAGTTAAGGGTAGTTATCTGAAAGTTATGGGAATCGTCCAAATTTCGAGGGGTATTTTCTGAAATTTGGTCTAGTTCAACGTCGTCGATCACATGTTGGGGATATTCCAACGGCTGGATCCATCATTTACCGGTGATTACCTAATATGATATAAAACTTGATTTGCCAAACTAATTGTCTACATTACGATTCAAGTACGCGTGCATTAAGCATGCTTCAGCAACGAGGGTTAGAAAAAATGTTATCAGATATAAGATTACAGGATGAAGAATATTTGTGAGATAGATTAAATAGTCTCATTAAGATTTACATTTAAAGGTGTTTTAACTTCTCTTTACCAAAACGAGAGTTTAAAGATGTAAATTTAATAAAAGACCCCTCTATAAGTCTCCGTTACCGTTAGTTTGTGCATCCTGCATACAGTGGCTAAAATAACTTCTTCTTGTGTTTATTGAACATTATGATGTTGTTATTCCTGACAGCATCGCTAAGCTTCTGATGTTCTCTGCTTTCGTTGAGAGTGTTCTCAATTCTTTCCCTTTTGCATATGCGCTCTCTCTCTCTCTTCTCTACCGAAATCTACACAAGCATGTAGGAGGAGGAGGGGGGGAAAAAGGTGGAAAATGTCACCAAAACTCCTGTGATGCCTCGGCCCCACGCAAAGCTTATGCTCTCTTTTCCGTATATAAATTCATATTTAATAAGTTAAACCAAAACTTTCCGTGTTTGAGTAACTAATCAACCTCTAGCTTATTTACACTCTGTCTCTGTGCATGAGATTCTGTACTGGAAAATACAAAGGCCACGAGAATCACCCCAGATCGAAGCAAAACCCCCCCTCACCTCACCGCCTCAATCCACAAGCAATACCTCTCAAGTGGATTCTTTTCTCTTCCTCTCACTTCTCAAGCTCTCTCCCAATCACCCCCCTCTTATACCTCTTGAGGGGTTGTCGCATCATTCTGCACCATAATCTCACCGACTTGGTTTGTAGTAAGGAAGCGATGATGGCGATTACTCACGACGACCTCTCGCTGAAGAAGCTGAAGGAGGCCGGTATCAGCAGCAGACTCGCTCTCTTTCTTGTCATCTTCTCTGTGCTTTGCGGCCTCACCGCTTTCATTTTGTGCCTCACAGCAGAGGGCTCCAGGTCTGAGGTACTATTTTACTCCATCCCAACAACAAGAAGAAAGTGTGTATCTTAAAAAATAATAATAATAATGGGACCTCCTACATGAACTCTATCCTTTCATTCAGATATACTTATTGTTATTGATTTTCTCTCATTTTATCCTCAATAGAGACAACCCCTAATTGCTCATCTCTTAGTGTATATCAGAAGTCCATTATAACATTCACACGTCTGTTGCACTCATTTTCCTTCCGCAAATGTAGCCTCTCGATCGTCCAAACATTCCGATACATAAAATACCTTCTGCCCAGTAACCACCTATAAAATTTTTCCTTCGTCATAGATATTCTACGGTAACATGAGATTCAAGAATCAGCGCTCCATTTTAACCATTTCGATAAGGTTCGATGAACCATGCTTTCTTCAATCTAACCATCCTGACAAATTACTATTATAAAAAAAAAAACTCTCGTCAGGTGACATATTTGCTTGTGACCACACCGAGCAGCAAGGACTACAAGTGCTACTACAGCGCACCGGCAGGACATTCCTCTGGCCTGCGCCCGCGGTGGGCGCGCATTCCTCATTCTTGCCAATACCCATGTTCACCGAGCACTGCTTATATGCTCATCGCTGTTACAAATCCTCAGCCACCGGCGTTGGCAGCCTGGACCACACCGCAAGATCCCAGAGCAACATCAACAAACAGAGATCTTACTTGGCAATCATGCTTCCTCTTTCTCACGACGTGGTAAGATTCAACGTATTTGAAGTTTGAACCCATGAAAATCTTAATCTTATAAAATACTGAGAACCTAAAGGTTGCAGGGTCTTTTTCGCTCTGGCCGAGGTTCTTCTGATGATTGGTATTGGTGTAGAATCTGGCCACCTCAGCAACTGGACGAGTCCTAAACCCAACTGTCATGCAGTTCGGCCTGGTGTTTTCGCGGTCGCTGGTGTCTTTGGATTAGTTACGGTGTTCCTCGGCGTCGGACTTTACCTGACTGCATTGAGATCACAAAGATTGCAGCTCCAAGAGCATGGAAGAATCCCAACCGGCCCGGGCCCATACCCACATGTTCCCCCCACCGCACCCGTTATTGAAGAACGTCAGAGCCAGCGGCAACCTCCACAGCATGTTGATAAAACTTCGACTTCCGCATAGACCTGAAAGCTAGATTTTATGCCTGTCCAATCAATTTAATTTAAATTCTTGCGTCTTGTAAGCTTGAAGAGAGGCTGTGAAAATAAAGATCTCTTGGGGGAAAAAAATATCACTATTTCCATCAGTGTATCGACATACAAATTTTCAAACTGGTTAGTGATCAAACTCTCACAAATAGGAGATAGAACTTCCGTTAGCTCACCCAAACAATAAAACTGACAGCTAAAAAAAACACAGCAAACAACTTATTCACCTTTCTGCTTTCCTTTTTACATGTAACAAGCACACCACTGTAGAAAACCCCCCACTGAACACTGGATCATCACGGATACATACAGTTTGTATTCAGCATTGTAAGTCACCGGGATGCTGTTGACTTACTTGGTCTTTTGCCTTCCATGGCTTCCTTCTTCTTCTTGCACTCGCTACAAAGATAAGGACCTTCCCATGGCTTTGGCGTAGGTGAGAAGAAGGTGCCTCCAGTGGCTGATAAGCCCTCATTCGGCTCTTGATTTGTTTGGCAGACCGCACATCGAAAAGGTGAAGAGTTCGCCTTTGATGGGAAGTTAGTAAATAACCTGCACGAGAAGAGGGTTCACATGGTCACTTCTTTGGGACATGAAATTCATGGTTGATCACATGTTATAAGGGGAAGTGACACTAACTTAAATATGGATAAGTTCTGACAATTTGATGCAAAGGGTGCTATGAACCAGAAGTCCAAATGAACCAGTAATTTCATCTCGGCACAATAATTTCGGTTTAGAAAATTAGATTACAAACCAAGTAACAGTCGCAACTGCTGTTGTGAAGAATATATGAGGAGTTCTCTAGTTGGGTCACTAAGATGGAACAACAATCAGGTGCAACAATTCGTAATTAACACAAAACAATTGAGTTGGACCAAATTCTCTGCATGGTGCATACTTTAACGACGTCCAAGATGTAGGCACAGCTAGATATTGATCCAAATTTAAATTTTGATTTCTGAAATTGAAATTCCCTACTGTTGTTATATGACTAGCTAAAAATAAACTACTCAGAAATAAAGATTTGGATGACTTAAACGTGTTATAACCATGCATTTTATGTTGTCAAAAACCAGTGTTTCAGAATTTTCATAAAACGAAATAATTTTTCAGCTCTTGGTGCATGAATAAAAACATGTTGAAATCATTGAAATTTTGGTTTCTACAGTCCATGTATATTACGTCACATCCAACAATACGGATTTTCAATGTAGTTCCAAGTTTTAAATCTGGATCTATAGCTTGGATTCTATCAATAGAAGTGTAACTCAACATTATTATTATAGGAAATATTATTATATATAATGAGTAAACAAGGACAGGTGTATCACTCCACAATCTTCGTTAGTGTGTTGTTAACATGGCATACATCCAGACTATTGCATCCAGATCATCAAGTTACCTAAATCAGACTTAACGGCTTGGATGTGTAACACATCAACAACACACCAGCCAAGATCATGGAGGGACACAACCACCCCATTTACTACATACATATATATACACATACTTGTCTGTACGTGGTGGGAGACAAGAGATGAAGATGGTGAGACCTATCATCCAATGCAACTAGTAAGGTATGTCTCACCACTACTTCATCTCTTGCTAGCCAATTTGGCAAAATGAGTTGCCACCTTATACCTATGTTTACACGCACACACTCACACCCACACCCCTGCAGACCAAACAGGAAAAGAGCTAACAAATTCATCACTTATTTGCTTGGTTGCAATTGGATATTTAGTGGACATCTACAACCGCAAATTCCAAGTATTCTTGAGAACGATTAAGCCTAACTCTTGGAAATATTTTGTATCCAGATCAGGATTTTGCTCTTGAAACTTAAACAAAGGATGATTGCCATGCACTCGCTAGAAAAACCAGATTTTCTCTCTTCTCCCATTTAGTTAAGCTGTTAGCCCCACTCCGCTAGCAAAGGTTCTGATGGAGAAGACAAAATTACTAACTTACTAGTAGATCAGTTTTTCAGCTAACAAGATTTTAGTTTCCAACCTCATCCTAACAGAATGGCTAACTAGTGAAAAATTGAAACCATATTTAACTATATTCCTGGGAATAATCAAACCAAAGTAACGAATCATCGCCGTGTCTATTCAGTTGGTCGCAGTTATTCCGAATTAACGCTCTCTCAAAACGTTCAAAAATAGCCGTTTACTCAAAAATCTCTTAGTGTGCATTTGGCTACTCCTCACTAACCTGGTTAAGACCTTAACCAGGTTCGTTGTGATCCAGGTAGGGGGGGTGGTTCAATACTAACTCGGTTAAAGGCCTAAATTTGAACTAAGAAAAGTTTGGATTTTGTCCAATTTTACCCAAACAAGAATTCATCCCTTTAACCAGGGTAGCTCCAGTAACCTATATAGTGAGGGAGTTGCCAAGCACCCCTTAAAGTTAATAAGTATCTTCACTATTCCCTAACGGATTCAGCTCCTCCATATCACAAGTTTTTGAATCTCGGTGTACCAAAATGACAAGTAAATTAGCCCCTTTTTTTGTGCCAATGCTGGGTGCAACAGGACAGCCTCAAGTTAATAGGTTGATTCTAAGTTAAACACCAAATTGAAGATCCATACTCATTGTGACAACAGAAGATTCAGATATGCCATGCGAACGTAATGCTTCAGCCCAAAAAAAATTCTGAAACATTTCAACACTATAAAGCCCAGTGTTATGTAAAGCTTACTTAAACATACAAAATCTGGACAGTCTACCAAGACCAATTAACAAGTCAAATTGCACGCAATCAAAGAACTATGGTATCTTTATATCAGTCAAAGCAATAATCTTGCATTTCTTACTTCTATTCTCTCTGACCAATAAAATTAAATAAAGTAAAAAAGATAATTATAAAAAGGTTAAAAATATATCTGATGATTAAGAATAGAAATTTTTGGAGGATGATTGATCACTCATTCTTGAATTTCTAACTATCAACACTTAAAACTAAATGACCAATCTTCTTCAAGCTTGACGTGTTTGGATTGGTCTTTTGCATTAAGTAACTCATGTATTTCTGCTTCTGAGAATAAGGATCCAGCAAACAAAAAAACTACAGTATGCAAATAAACCCTACTGATTCAACTTCAGAAGGGGAAAAAAGGAAAGAAAGAAAGAAAGAAAGAAGAAGCAAACATATAACTGATTCAATTCCAATACTATAGCTGAAATGTGAACTCATTCTTCCTGTGACCTGAAACAGATATTTGAGAAATGACAATTACCTATAACAGAGAGGGGCCTGACATCATATCCTAAACAATTGTTAAGAGGGCATTTGGGAGGTCTTAATTTTTGAAGTTACAAGTTATGTTAACTTTTGATGGCTTGACTTTTATGATAAAAAAATTATAAAAATTGCATGGGTAAAATAATCATTTGCTTGGTCAAACGTAGCTTATTTATATGAGCTTAAAAACTATTCTTTTAAAAGTTGGGGAATCCCAACTTTTTTAAATGGGACTAAAAGCTATTTTATTTTGAATTTGCCAAATAAGTAGATATGGAAAAGGTAACTTAAAAGCTTTTTTGACTAAAAAATAAGCTCCCCAAACACTTTTAAGTCCAGAATATGCTTTTCCTAGACAGGTCATATACGCTCAGGAAACATAAGGGCCTAAAAATCTACTGTATATGAAAGGAAGCGCAGCTAAATTAGAAAGAAAAAAAATCAATTGAGTGTCTTAACTTTGATGCAAAGTAAACAGCACTTCACAACTAAGACAGCCTAAAATCAAATCATTTGCAATGGTATACTTCGCGAGAAGCCATATGTCCTCTAATATACTAAAAACCAAGCAAGGCCGTTCAAAATTTTGAGGACTGAAGGACATTCCTTCCTTCATAGTAATCTTTTGAGGGCAGTTCGGTCATTTGCTAAAGCCCCACCCACCCCCACGCCCCAAAAAAAACTCCATGATTTAAAAATATAAACCTAATAATTTATACTCACCCTTCTAGAATTCTCCATCTTTACTAACCAGCAAAAAACCATGCATTAGTCTGTTGTTGTCTGTTCTTGCCAATGGAGAGATATTAGGATGGGACGTGTCTGATGGGACCCACATAAATACTACATAAACAATATCTTTATTATAGATGGACCAAATCTATATTATCGATACTTATATTAATCTATATCAATATTACCTATACTAATATATATAAGGAAAATATTGAGGTACTGAATTTTGATAGGAGATATTTTCCTTTTTCTTTTATTTTCTTTCTTTTTTTGAAGCATTCTAAACAATGACAAGAGCATATAACGAGAGCTTAGTGATTAAATATTAACAATACATGTTGATAGGACACATTAATATAAAATGATAAGGTTCTTTCCACAAAATATCACTAGATATAAGTAAATACAATAAAACAGTAATTCAAACATCAATATGTTCTAATGCAAATACTATTGAAGTCAAAATATATCTATATGCATAACTTACAATATAATTAAATATAATAATTTGAAGATAAAATATAAAAAAGAATCTCCATATTGACATTTTCTAAAGTGTTCTTAGAATGGTTTCTAAAACTTCTCCATCAAGTTGCAATACAGTACCCTATTTTCTGTTTTGAAAATTATCAATACTCAAATTGAAATATATGCCAATTTCAAATAAGCTAATATAAAATAACTGATCTCAAATTAACAAATATCATGAAAAGATCTTATGAAAATCGATGATATTTCATATTATTAAATTAATCTTTTTTTTATAAAAATTACAATAAATGAATTTAATGTAGTTTGTGTGTGCATTTGCGCGTGCACTAATGCTAGTCCTAAAAATTCTCTTGTCCAAATTCACTAGGATGTCAATTTTGGTGCCTATGAACCAAGCCCTCTAGTATCTTTAAGGTTTCTACCTTGCTATTAACCATCCAGTGAACTCCCAGAGTAATAAACTATTGAACCACAACTTAAAATATATTCATGAGTCAAATTTCCAGCCTGCTAAAATTTGAGTACACAACCAAAAATTACACGCAACCATAAAATAGATACACCTTTGATTATTGATCAAGACTCAAAAAAAGGTTTATACATTGTTTCATGACAATTGAAAAACAAGAAACCTATATCTTAGAGTTTCCAGGTATCCAGATATGACTAGGAAGCAATTGTTTTTACTAACCAAATCACCTACACTATGACATGACTTCACGTTTCAAAATACACAATCCAATCGGTAAAATTCGGCCTGTGTATGTAATTTTTTCCTCCATTTTTCAACTATCAACTTCTCAGGATCCCCGAGATCGGTAGAATCTCCCAAGAGGTGCTTGTACTATGGTAAGGGTAGAATTTCACCGAAAGGAAAACCATTGTCACGGAAGGAACACTTAACATAATTATTGCCTAAAGCTAGCTTGAATTTCTTAAATATTATCTGTTTCTTAAGATAAATGACTGGATAATGTTTCTTCATTTGACCAGGTTAAGATTAGCAAGCAGTGAAACAGGATAAAGATATGACAATAGTGAAACAAAACACAGACTATAAAACTATAGATCTACTATGCAACAGACATGGAAATGAACAATTACATATTAATACCATATACTAAAAAGATGAATCTTTGAAAAGCTCTAAAAATCATCTCCCCCCAAATGCATTTCAATGCTTCATGAAAATAACAGCATGACACCTAATAATAATAGATGCATAAGCCGGTTCATTTATGTATAATTAGAGAATGGAAAAGCAAAAATTTTGCCTGACAAAGTACATCGCTTTTCCTATTCCCTCTACACTTCTGCTCTGAAACACAGACATTTTCCTCAGAAGCAATTAAGATGCTTTGTGAACTAGACTCTACTTATGTCAATATTGGTCAGCTTCTCAAGGATTGCAAACATCAAAAAGATATTCAAAAATAAAAAACTTACTATCTTCTACCCATAACAAATGAAAAATCTGAAGCAACATGCAGATGATCAATATTAAAAAGATGAGACCTTGTTAAGGTTAAACTTGGATAAGTTTCAGAATAGGCCTCAGATTCTTAGAAGTCTCAAACATCAAGGTGCCAAGCCCTAGAGAAACCTTGGACAATAAACAAACATTTACATAGGCAATGCCGACCCCAACCTTCAAGCAGTAATAGAAATAAAGTTGAAGTGAAAAAAAAAACTATCACGAAAATGCAGGGAACAGCCCTTTAGCCATTTATACAACCTGTCAATCCAAACGACGCAGAATATGGCACTTCAATTCAGGCGGGCTACAGCCGCAAGATACGGTAAGCAATTTCACAACATGACCAAATTTTGGTATACCACATTAATCTAGAGACTAGAGAGGATATGGAAGAGATAGGGAGACAACACACAGGATTTAAAAATGATGAATGAAGTGCATAAAGTGGTTTAAGCTGTGTTAACAGGATTTTTTTTCCCGAATGCCTACTAAGGTCTGAAAATGTTATGTTCAATATGTGATAAAATTAGAAGCTGCGTGTTGAAGACCAAAGAAATGAAATAAAAAAGGTTCTTCGAGTAGCGTTATAAAGATTTTTTTTCCCTGAAAAAGCAATAAAATGTGCAAATATATATTGTTCAAACTGTTTGGCAAGAAAAATTGCCAAACAGCAAAGACAGATGCAAGCTTCGACAAGTTAAGATGGTGTAATAAAAACTAGGCGTGATAAGTTGGACTGAAGAATGATTTTATTGCAGGATACAAGCATGTAGAAAGAAGCATGGAGATACAACTATTGACTAACAGAAAGCTAGCCCAAGTTTGCATTTGTGGGATTAGTCAGCCCATCAAACCCCATCAACTATTGACAGATGCAAGCTTCGACAAGTTAAGATGGTGTAATAAAAACTAGACGTGATAAGTTGGACTGAAGAATGATTTTATTGCAGGATACAAGCATGTAGAAAGAAGCATGGAGATACAACTATTGACTAACAGAAAGCTAGCCCAAGTTTGCATTTGTGGGATTAGTCAGCCCATCAAACCCTACCCCTCCTACGACAAATCAATAAATAAATGGAGAGCGGGTTGTACGCATTAACGGGGGCTATAGACTATAGCTAAACAAATTTATTTTTGCAATGTGGTGGACTTAAACAGGTTATACACAAAAATATATATATAAATGCGTAAATGCTCAAGTAAAACTGAAAATAAAGACTATACCATTTTTTCTGCATTATGATTTAAAGCAAACAAAAGTATGTTAACATCAATCTAATGAACCAAAAAGGAGGGAAGGTCTTCAAGAAACTCAATATCAGCTAAATAATTGATGCACAGCTATAAACATATCACTAATCATCTGAATTCAGAAATACATTGCCCAAAGCTAGAATGTATTCATAAAAGTGCAGAAACTGAAATGACACTCATCTAGCAGATGAACCACCATAAATTTTAAACGAAAGTTACAAAATAATTAAACTGAATGTCTAGCTGATAAGATGATGGAACAATGCATATGATACACAATAAGGAATTTAGTAGTTTAACAAGTCTACTGAGCATTAAAATAGGAATACATGACAATTAGACAATACTGTGAATAATGCACTTACGAAAATGTCATGAGTATAAAAATTAAGCAGTTAAATAAAAGTTAGTATCTCTTGAAAATATTACTGCACATGTACTACTACCATACCTCTCCTCCAACATTGCAGAGCCTTCTTCGAATAGCTCCTCGACAGATCCCACAGATGAGAGTTTGTTTGGATGCTTATTGACAGAATTTTGATACCTTAGGCCTAAAAACAGAGATCTCAACTTATTCTGGTGCTTCCTGGGAGAGGGTGGTGCTACAGAATGATCAGACGGTATGATATCAACAACAAGGCAAGTGGTGTCATCTTTCAAGCCACTCGCTCTTAGGGCTTCCTGAAACAGTCGAGCAACCAACAATTTAGCTATCCAATCTCGGAACACATATACATACTACAATCTGAAAAATGGATGCAAATAACTATACTTATTGTAGAAACCACCTTAACAACAAGCTTCGCAGCAAGCTCTGCAGGTAATCCCCTGCAAGCCTTGGCAGCCATTTCAGATGACAAGGAGTCCCATACACCATCTGAGGCAATAATCAGCCTGCCTCCAGCATTGGAAAGCTAGATTCACGCAACAAACAACAGTTCATTCAAATAATCCAACAAATGCATCCAACCCTAGAACAGAAAAATCCCATATTTTACCTTCACTTGCTTAACATGAGGAATCGGCACAATAAACTCCCCAACATCAGTATCCCCAATTGACCTCGAAAGACATAGACCACCCGGCCAACACCGCAGAGGACCCACCTAATAAGAATCGAACAAGGTGGAACTGAGAATTCCATAAAGACTATAGCCTGTCAAAGTTCCCTTCCACTACATCAAAACTTTGAGCTTATGGTGAGAGTTAAGGGCAATAATTTATACTCTTAACATCCTCCCACAGGTTGAGAGTCCTTCTTGTGAGCCAAAACCGGACTCAAACAATAATATTAGTTTAAATCCGCTGTAAATTTGTGGGAATTGAACCTAGATTGCTCTGATACCATACCAGAGGTCCCTTTCACCACACCAAAACTCCAAAGCTATGGTGAGGGTTAAGGGTTGTCATACATACTCTAATAAAGCCTGAGGAAATGGCCTTCATAGTTTTAGATTACCTCTTGCCCTCCACAGAGGTTAAGCCTCCCGACTTCTCCGCCACTAGCTGTTACCCTCTCCCTCTCCTCGACATTCTCTTCCAATCTATGATCAACAGTCAGCAAAGTCACCACCCCACCTTGTGAATCCAATATACATCTCGAATCGCCCACCGAGGCAACGGTCACCGTCCACCCATCAATCACAACAAAGGTTACCGTCGTCCCCGATACCTCTCCTGCAATGCCACCACACAAAAAAAAAATCCTCGAGGATCTGAACTTTAACTCACCAAAATCTTAAAATTGAACAAAATAATACCTCTTCTCTGGAAATCGATATCGGTCTTCACGAAACCAGCAACCAAAGCCCGAGGAAGCTCTTGAAGCCACTCATCCCTCCCAATTCCATGAGGGATCGCGCTCATCACGTGATCGAAAAGATGATCTTTTGTGAAGACGGCCGCAGATACTCCATTGTGTCCATCAAAGATCTGAACTCAACAACTCAGATACATCAAAAGAGAGTGCAGAAAGAAAATCAAAAAAAAAAAAGCGAGAGAAGTTTTAGGGCGGTGACCATACCGCAAAGACAGAGAAGGCAGTGGATTGGTTCCCCGGGATCCGAAGGCAATCAGGCTTGATCAAGAACAAATCCTCGCCTCTCTTGGCTAGGCCAGTTCCAGGATTTTTTTCCCGAATGCCTACTAAAGGTCTGAAAATGTTAATGTTCAATATGTGATAAAATTAGAAGCTGCGTGTTGAAGACAAGAAATGAAATAAAAAAGGTTCTTCGAGTAGCGTTATATAAGATTTTTTTTTGCCCTGGAAAAGCAATAAAATGTGCAAATATATATTGTTCAAACTGTTTGGCAAGAAAAATTGCAAACAGCAAAGACAGATGCAAGCTTCGACAAGTTAAGATGGTGTAATAAAACTAGGCGTGATAAGTTGGACTGAAGAATGATTTTATTGGCAGGATACAAGCATGTAGAAAGAAGCATGGAGATACAACTATTGACTAAGCAGAAAAGCTAGCACAATTTGGCATTTGTGGGTTAGTCAGCCATCAAACCCCATCAAACTATTGACAGATGCATGCTTCGACAAGTTAAGATGGTGTAATAAAAACTAGACGTGATAAGTTGAGACTGAAGAATGATTTTATTGCAGGATACAAGCATGTAGAAAGAAGCATGGGAGATACAACTATTGACTAACAGAAAGCTAGCCCAAGTTTGCGATTTGTGGGATTAGTCAGCCCATCAAACCCTACCCTCCTACGACAAATCAATAAATAAATGAGACCGCGTTGTACGCATTAAACGGGGGCTATAGACTATAGGCTAAACAAATTTTATTTTTGCAATGTGGTGGAGCTTAAACAGGTTATACACAAAATATAATATATAATGCGTAAAATGCTAGTAAAACTGAAAATAAAGACTATACCATTTTTTCTGCATTATGGATTTAAAGCAAACAAAAGTATGTTAACATCATCTAATGAACCAAAAAGGAGGGAAGGTCTTCAGAAACTCAATATCAGCTAAATAATTGATGCACAAGCTATAAACATATCACTAATCATCTGAATTCAGAAATACATTGCCCAAAGCTAGAATGTATTCATAAAAGTGCAGAAACTGAAATGACACTCATCTAGCCAGATGAAGCCACCATAAATTTAAAACGAAAGTACAAATAATTAAACTGAATGTCTAGGCTGATAAGATGATGGAACAATGCATATGATACACAATAAGGAATTTAGTAGTTTAACAAGTCTACTTGAGCATTAAAATAGGAATCATGACAATTAGACAATACTGTGAATAATGCACTTACGAAAATGTCATGAGTATAGAAAATTAAGCGAGTTTAAATAAAAGTTAGTATCTCTTGAAAATATTACTGCACATGTACTACTACATACCTCTCCTCCAACATTGCAGAGCCTTCTTCGAATAGCTCCTCTCGACAGATCCCACAGATGAGAGTTGTTTGGATGCTTATTGACAGAATTTGATACCTTAGGCCTAAAAACAGAGATCTCAACTTATTCTGGTGCTCCTGGGAGAGGGTGGTGCTACAGAATGATCAGACGGTATGATATCAACACAAGGCAAGTGGTGTCATCTTCAAGCACTCGCTCTTAGGGGCTTCCTGAACAGTCGAGCAACCACAATTTAGCTATCCAATCTCGAACACATATACATACTTACAATCTGAAAAATGAATGCAAATAACTATACTTTATTGTAGAACCACCTAAAACAAGCTTCGCAGCAAGCTCTGCAGGTAAATCCCTGCAAGCCTTTGGCAGCCATTTCAGATGACAAGGAGTCCATTACACCATACTGAGGCAATAATCAGCCTGCTCCAGCATTGAAAGCTAGATTCACGCAATCAAACAACAGTTCATTCAAATAATCCAACAAATGCATCCAACCCTAGAACAGAAAATACCAATATTTTACCTTCACTTGCTTAACATGAGGAATCGCAGGCAATAAACTGCACCCAACATCAGTATCCGCCAATTGACCTCGAAAGACATAGACCACCGCGCCAACACCGCAGAGGACCCACCTAAATAAGATCGAACAAGGTGGGAACTGAGAATTCCATAAAGACTATAGCCTGTCAAAGTTCCTTCACTACATCAAAACTTTGAGCTTATGGTGAGAGTTAAGGGCAATAATTTATACTGCTTAACATCCTCCCACAGGTTGAGAGTCCTTCTTGTGTAGCCAAAAACGCGACTCAAAAATAATATTAGTTTAAATCCGCTGTAAATTTGTGGGAATTGAAACCTAGATTTGGTCTGATACCATACCAGAGGTCCCTTTCACGCCACACCAAAATCCAAAGCTATGGTGAGGGTTTAAGGTTGTCATACATACTCTAATAAAGCCTGAGGAAAATGGCCTTCATAGTTTTAAGATTACCTCTTGCCCTCCACAGAAGGTTAAGCCTGCCGACTTCTCCGCCACTAGCTGTTACCCTCATCCCTCTCGACATTCTCTCAATCATTGATCAACAGTCAGCAAGTCACCACCCCACCTTGTGAATCCAATAATACATCTCGAATCGCCCACCGAGGCATACGGTCACCGTCCAAGCCACAATCACAACAAAGGTTACGTCGTCCCCGATACCTCTCCTGCAATGCCACACACAAAAAAAAAATCTCGAGATCTGAACTTTAAACTCACCAAAATCTTAAAAATTGAACAAAATAATACCTCTTCTCTGGAAATCGATATCGGTCTTCACGAAACCAGCAACCAAAAGCCCGAGAAGCTCTTGAAGCCACTCATCCCTCCCAATTCCATGAGGGATCGCGCTCATCACGTGATCGAAAAGATGATCTTTTGTGAAGACGGCCGCAGATACTCCATTGTGTGCCATCAAAGATCTGTGACTCAACAACTCAGATACATCAAAGAGAGTGCAGAAAGAAAATCAAAAAAAAAAAAGCGAGAAAGTTTTAGGGCGGTGACCATACGCGCAAAGACAGAGAAGGCAGTGGATTGGTTCCCCGGGATCCGAAGCAATCAGGCTTGATCAAGAAAACAAATCCTCGCCTCTCTGGTCTAGGCGCAGCGTGTCCGTACCTAAGGGCGAAGGCCTCTCGCGATTTCTGCCGCGGAGCTCGCGACCAATCAGGGTTGCGAGGGGGAACCAGCGGCGGCCTCGCGCTCGATCTGAGAGCTGATGGTTTCGTCATCACTCAACCCTAAATCGGAATCGCCATTCCGTGA